ATGTAGGTCAAGTAGAGAGGATTAGTTGATCCCGCATTACTATATCCCAAAAAGTCTCAAACCATCAAAAAGAAAAAGAACCAGCAATGGCAAACTCCAAAACAGTCGCCAACTTACGTTACTACCATCCACCAACCAATAGAAGGTGACTCACACGACCACCACTGGTGACCCCACAGAGTTCTCCTCAGGACCCACATAGCATGAGACTCAAGGATATCTTCATGATATCAACTTCGTTTTGACTTTTCAAACCAGGTATTGACTATACTGTGTCTTTCAATACCAATTCAGCCCTCCAGACCATTTTTCCAATAAACCATATTGGTTTCCAAGTTTTCTGTCAGCTCCATCAAATTCACACTTAATTATCTTCCTAGAAAAGTTAAATATGTGAAATATTAAAAAAGAGAATGATGAGACATCATTCATCTGTAGTTAAGTAGAAGCAGGCAGCAGTTAAAGTGGAGGAAGATTGGAAAGATTTCCTAACTTTTCAAACACTATGTCAAGAACCTTGCTCATGGACTTGAGAGATGAATCGATTAAGTAGAATAGAGATAGGAAAGAAGAGAGAGGGAGAAAGGAAACCAAGAGAGAAATTTGAATTAGAATTTGAACTTCAAATTGATTGTGCTTTCCTTCCCACAAGTGAATCATTTATATAGGTATGGGTTGCGTGCCTTTCAGTTGGGCTTATGGGTACAACCAAATAAAAAAAAAAAAAAATCCATGCTGTAATTGAAGTACAAAATTACATTCTTTCCTCACAACTATTTACCCTTGTACCGTTCTTTTTTTGGTACACCTTCAACGGCTTCCTTACAATACCTTCCCCTCAAATGACAACCCTCTCCTCAAGGATGAGATTTGAAAATTAGTGACTAATATAATCATAGTCTTTCCAAGTGCAGTCATCATGTGACCCTAGGAAATTGAGACACGTTCCACTTCGTGATCACCACGAAAAATAGTCCTACATTGCAAAACTCTCTCGGGTTGGACACTGGGTACATGTTAGCAGTTGAGTTTTTCTTAAACAGTGATTGCTGAAGTCAGGAAATTATGATTATTTTTTCTTTATTCTGCTTTAGTTAGTAAGTGGTAGTTGAAAGGAATGGGGAAGCATGTTTTGAAGCAAGAAAATCAGCAACTCTTGCTTGTTTTGGTTAACAAAATGATGTGTTTTACTTGACTTTTTGCTGACAGCTTGTATTTGCTGTAGCAAAAAATCTTTCCTTAAAAATGCTATATATATGTAAGACTGATGAACTACAATATATAGAGTTCACTTTTTGTCTCTCACTCTGCTGTATTCTCTTCTGCATTTTTTATCTGCATGTTTTTGCTCTCTTTTTCTCACTGCAAACCCACACATTCATATTTAAATTGTTGCATTATTCTCTCTCTGTTTTGAAATTACAAACACAAAAACAGCAAGCTTTTGCCTCCAACAGTACACCCTCCTAGTTGTTTGTCGGTAGATTTTCCACTCTAATATTTTTTTGAAAGAAAAGTGTGAAGTGTATTGATGTAGGCGCCAAGGTTGTGCCCTAAAAAGATATAACCAAATAGATTTTTCACCCTAATTTTTTTACCAGCATTGTACTTCTCTAACTCGGACCCATGAAAGATTCAGTAGATACGCGAGGATGAGGGTAATTTGAGCTATAATATGCCACGTCTTACTTCCTATAGAACTTCAGAAAGACTATAGAATCTTTAGACAGCTTGGAACTTTCACCTTGTCAAACTAATCCTTGCGTAATGGTTGATCTTGAGTAACCCAAGGTCTTGTTCTTCAAAATTCTTTCACTACGATGAGGGTCAACATATTGTTTGATACGGAACTGAGCCTTCAACAGATGTTGTTTAATTACCTAATTAGCTTCATCCCTCTCTGTTGTGAAGGCTTTAACTGATTGTGAGGGTGAGAGTGGACTAAGAAGTTGGGTGGAGCATAACCATAAAGATCTTGGAAAAGGGTCATTTGCAAACTCTAGTTGTATGAAATGTTATTCCACCATTTAGCAGTTGCCAACCATTTTGCCTTCGTTTTTGGTTGTTGACTGGTCATGCACCTAAGATACAATTCTAAATATTGGTTGAGTCTCTCTATTTCGCCATCCGTTTGGAGATAGTAAGCGAAATTGAGATACAAGGTTTTACCCACGGCCTTCATCAAATTCTCTCTAGAAAAAGCAAGTGAATACCTTATCCCCACCAGAAATCTAGACATGTGGAATTCCATGCAACCGATGAATGGTGTCTATATATAGTCGAGCTACCCCTTGAGTTGTGAAAGGGTGGTGTAGTGGTATAAAATGATCGTATTTAGTGAAATGGTTGACTACCACCAGTATTGTATCCTTGGCTTCTGACATCAAAAGTTACTCAACTAAATCCAGTGACACATGGGTCCACGCTTGAGATAGGACTGATAATAATTGAATGTGTCCTTGTAACGTACCTTCTTTGTTTACATCGTTGAGAAATGTCATACTGTTGTATCTACTCACTAATTTGTTACTTTATCCCAGGCTAATAAAAGTGTTGTTTTGCATGCCCATAGGTAGCTTTAACTCTTAAATGACCACCTACAACTGAATTATTGCATTTATGCAATTATTTGGTCCTCAGCCCGACATTACCTCCAATATACCAACCTCCCATTGTAATCAATGATCTCCTTATGCAAACGAAATGGCCTACTATTGGGGATACCAGAAGTTTCTCAAGTATTGAGTGAATAAAGGAGTCATTGGTGTAGTAGGTTAGTATTTCGGAAATTCATGTTAGGGTTGTTGTGATCATGTTATACCACGCCTCTGCTTCATTTTGCTCTTCTTCCCTTCTTGAAAGGGCATCTGCAATGTAGTTGATCAACCCTTGTTTATACTAAATTGTATAGTTTAGTCCCAACAATTTCATTTTTCCTCTCTGTTGAACCATGGAGTACACCAGCTGATCCAGGAGATACCTGAGGCTTTTTTAGTCTATTATGATAAAACTGGGTACCGCCCAACTAATGTCGCCACTGACTGACTGCATGTAGGTCTACCAAAAGTTCTTTCTCGTACACAGATTTTGATTGATTTTAGGGACTTAATGCTTTACTAGTGAAGGCTATAAATAAGTATTTCTTCCTGCATTAAAACAACTCAAATACCTTTATCACTAACATCGGTCTATATAATAAAAGAATCTACAAATTTTTGGCAGGCATAAACACAGGATGGAAGTCATTGCGAATTTGAGCGGTTAGAAAGCTTTGTTGGCATCCAGGCTCCCTAGAACCTCCCTTTTTTAGTAAATCAGTGAATGGCTTTCGATGATACCATAATGCAATATAATTTTTTTATAATACTTTGTCGATCCTAGAAATCCTCTCGAGTGCCTCCAAGGTTTTTTGTTGATAGCCAATTATCATAGTTTCAACTTTCCTTGGGTTTGTTTCAATCTTCCTTCGGTTTGTTTCCTCACCATGGCGGAAACAAGATTTGAATTGCAGGGCATATAGCTTGTGGACCCTTAATAGTTTCAGTACTTCCTTCAATTGTTTGTAATGCTCTTATTTATTCAAACAATAAATTAGGGTATCATCAAAAAAGACTAAGACAAAATTTGGGAGAAATACCTTAAAGATATGGTTCATGATAACTTAGAAGCTTACCTATGCATTGGTGAGACCAAAAAGCATCACCCTGAATTCATAGTGACCCTCGTGCATTCTAAAAGTTGTTTTGTAAATGTCTTCTTCCCTCACTCGTATCTAGAAGCAGCCTGCTCTGAGAATTAACTTTGAGAAGACCATAGCTCCATGGAGTTTAACCAGTAAATTATCAATGATTAACATAGGGAATTTGTCCTTCATGGTGAGGAATTGAGCTTCCTATAGTCAAAACAAAATCGTGAAAATCCATCTTTCTTTTTTATTCACAGAATAGGAGATGAGAAGGGACTGTGATTGGATGAAGACTGCCGAACCCCCCACTGGATTTCAGTCATTTATTCTATGACAAAAAGTCTTATTCACCACTGAAAGAGATAACTTCTGTTGTCTGCTTGATATCTGCTGTCCTAACCACCATAAAAAAACAACAGCAGAAAATCCTAAACCTCTATCACTAGACAAGTCTTTCATGAGAAGGCCAAACCTCATTGGTGATTAGAGATATGCACATGAGTCTCATGCGCCTTGATTGCAAGTGAGCATCTATATTATCTGCTCTATTTTGACCAATTCAGCTCCCTTTAATTTGATGCAGACCAATCCCAAAAGTTTCTTAGCGTTCCTACCCACTTTTAAGGTCAGATAGTCAGATTCACACCTTACAGTCACTTTTAAAGCATATTCGCTTTAGCTCACCAGGGAGTCCAATAAACTTTTTGTTACTATTCATCATATAATCTACCCAATTACATATTATATTTTATATGATATTTTTAGTTCCTATGGACGTGGAGAGTACTAATACATCCAAAATTAATTTGTATTAAATATCAATGTAGTATGCTAAACTTTCTCTCCATGATTGTTGCATATATGATAACTATTGTCCGTTAAATATTAAGTATGAAATAAATTTATTGGCCTAGGACAAAGGAACTTGAAGACAGAACTTAGACAATTTATTAAGAACTAGACTTTGAGAGCTTTAATGTCAATTAGTTAAAGCAATATCATGGTATCTGATTAATAATCATGAATAGTTAACTCAATGACTAAGTTAGGTAACTCACTTATAGGCACCATGAACAATTAAAAATAGAAAACTTAATAAATAGGAAAATAAGCTAATAGAAAGAACCGAGAGAATGCTTAGGAAAAGGAAATAAAATCTTCATTTTTTCCCTTATTGTAAAACTTTTCAAAATTTTATTTCTACTACAGAAAAAAAAAAAAATTAAATTGTGCTATTACTTTAAATGTAAAACTTCCTAAAATGTTTATTTTCCTTTACTAGTCCTACATCAAATTGTTTAAAATATAAACATACCTAAGCCACATAATCTCTAACAGGTGAGCCAATCAAAGTTTCCCTGATGGTGTCGATGCATAAAGATCCAAAACCATGCTTTTCACCTGACCAGCTAATCCGAGTCCAATATCCAACTCCACTACTTATCACCTTATGAAATTCTTTATCCACACAAAACATGCTCAAGCTATACCTCCACCAGGTCCCACCGTAGCTGTGTCCTCTTCTTGTAGCCCCTCCAACTAAGCCAAACAGCTGCATCCTCTCCTTGTATCCCTCCACCTGAACTGTACAGTCAACATCAATACACAAACAATACAGACCCAGTGGTGAAGTAAATAAATAAACTGTCTCTCCAACTAGACCATTCAACTTAATATGGCCCATTTACTAGTCTCGTATCCGAGCCAAATAGATCATCCTCTCTATTGATCCCCCATACTTGCCAACACATCAGCCATAGTGTTCCTTCCCTTATGCACATATATAGAATTTTTATATTTTTTCCAAACATAGTATTAATTCTCAGTCGACTTTTTGTCCTAACTGGAGTTAGACATACTCTTCTAAAATACTCTTCAACATAATCAATATATTTATTCAAAAAAAATTTCTCAACAGCCTATTCTCTAATCATCATCGTGCAAAGTAATCACCTTAAATATAAAATCTAAAAACGTAAGTGTGATATTTAGGTCCAAGAATTGTTCTCAAATTACTAATCATGGTTTTCCTCAAAAAAAATATTAATATTCATGGTACCATTAACGAGCACAGTTCACGAGTACTATCCACAATCCAGTGCCATAATTCCTTAGTAGGTAAATTATGTCAATGAAGCGAAGAGATCAAAGATATGAGGATAGAGTAGGAGGCAAGAATCTAGATGGCTATAATAACTACAAACCATAACAAAACATCATATTTATCTATGTTAAATAATAGAATGAATAACACCATAAATTGAAATGGGAAAACCAATTTTTTTCATTTATATTTGAATTAATCTCTTCTAGGTGTGACCAACATACTAAATAGCATGTAAACCCAAAAGAAATGCACAAGCGAGAAATTAACACACGAACTTTTCATGCGCGCAGTAAGGAATGGAATGAAACTTCAAGATTAGAACCTAGAATTTCAAGCTTTGATGCCAATCTAAATAATAGGTTTTATATGAAGACAAAGTTCAAGCTCTGATACCATGATAATATAATAGGTTGTCTTACCAATTATACTACAACTTAAACCAATTATAACCACCTACCTCTGATAAAGTTAGTATTTATCCACTTTCATACATGAGAATTTGGAGATTCAAGTTCCTTAGGCTCTCTACGAGAATATCACCCCCTTGTCTTTTTGAAGGAAAGGAAAAAATCAGTGAGGAAAAGACCTTTATGACTTGTATTCTAACATGTACATATTTCTACACTATGCTTTAATAACAAGCTTCCAATTGAAATATAAAGAAAACTATGCTTTTCCAAGCAAAGCATAGCTCATATCCTTTAGGAAACATCAGCCATATAGTTCCATCAGAAGTGGTCAACCACCAATAATATGAAATAGAGAGAAAGAATTAACGAATTTGAATCAAAATTTATGCTATGTTTGGAACAAATAGAGAAATTTTCATGAAATTCATAAGTAACTACACATCCTATTCAACTAGAAAATGGCAAAAATCTTCCAAAAGATAATAAAAGTTAACCTCGTACAAAATTCAATATGCAATTGGAACAATGAATTCCAAATTTCATCAAGTACATGAAATTCCATAAGAGTTCAACTTATATCATCTTTAAATAAGATTTGTATCCTCTCATAGTTCAGTTAAGTGTGTATTTGCAAAAGAAATTGCACAAAATTTCTAAATTTGTTACAAACATATCTTAAGATGTAATCATATTCACCAACAAGGTGCATAAATCAGAATATGAAGTACAAATGCATTGAAGGTGTAGAATCACCAGCAAGGAGCCCATGGGCAAAAAATGCAAAGAGGAAAGCAAACCCTCCACCTGAACAGATTGTATGACAACGACATAGAGCACGCCCGTACACAATCATATACCTCGGATGAGTGATAACAAGCGTGCTCTCTCTCGTTGTCACCCAAATCCCAAATTATATAGGAGCATGAAGAAAACCCTGCAATAGTAAGGACTTGATTTATCATGACTTGGCAGAAAACAATGATCCAAAAAATTAAAGAAAGGTTTGCAAGTAATGGCTTTCTTATGAAGTATATGGGCAACAGATAATGAGTCCTTGGGATTAGTCTCAACACATGCATGAAATATGCCATGCAACTTCAAAACCACATTAAACCACATTATGACTGAATTAATAGGAAGAAAAGATCCAGATCCAAATTCCTCTAGGGTGACATTCGTTGTCCAAAACTGAAAAAGGGACCAACGGGAGGTACTAGCTTACCCAAGAACTCCAATTAAAGACCATGGATAACATGAACAAGGTCTCCATGCATGAAATCTGAAGACAAACAAGCGCACAATTTACACCAGTATCAACTAATTCGTGCATAAAAACAATCAAATTTCTTCATCACAGTCACTATGATGAAAAGAAAAGGAGAACATTCACATGCACAAAAAAGACGCATGAGAAAAAACAGCTTAATAAGAATGAAATCAAGCGATGAAAATCGAGTAAAAGAATGAGTATGATGATAAGATTTTTCAATTACGCAAAAACTTACACTCCATCATTGTAGAATCAGTAGCCACTCCTTCCTAATATACAGGCAAATACATAACGAGCAGGTATTACACAATATTCTATGTCAGCAAACAAAAAATATTGAAGGATTACCGCATGCAAAAGGCCCAAGACCATGAAAAATGATTGGAATAAACAAAGAAATGAAAACATTTCCAACCTACATACTCGAACCCTAAAAAAAAAAGCACTGATGGAAAAGAAAAGACGAAATAGAAGTTATTGTTCTAATTCTAACAATGCATAAAGTAAAACCTAAATCAGTACCAAATTCAAGAACTGATGAGAAGCTGCGGAACAAAAAGAAAAAAAGAACACAGTTCATGAAGTAAACATACATAGAAGTAATCAAGCTTCTGAGACTTGTCAAAACGCACTTAATTTCCTCATCCAAAAAAACAAAACAAAAAAATCAGTGCAAATTCTATAAATATAACCTAACACCATGTTAAGCGGCTCAATAATGTTTGGTGATCATGGTCATAGTTTCTTTATTTTTTATGCATGTGATGCCAAACCCTCAACTCCAACTGCACCTGATTCCAGTGTTTTGAGTCAGAAAGTTTAGAGACCAAATAAAAATAAAACAAGAAGATCGCATGTGTTTGTCGGAAACCACAGATAATTTCGTGAAGAAAAACCGAGATATAATTGGGAGAAAAAAGCTCCATAAACCACCAAGAAAACAAGCAAAACACTACAATAAACCCCAAAAAAATAGAGAACCCGGAGAAATATAATTAAAAAATATATGAAAACATTAAACACCAAGAAAACACCCTTTCCACTGAGATTTTCGGATCCGACTTCGAAGCCCAATTCAGAAAACCCAAAAAGCCAATCAACAAATTAAGCAAAAATGATGAGAAATTAAGGAAAAGAAAAGAGAACCCACCACTCGCCGGCTGCCGGCTGTCGCCCGATATTAATAAAAGAAGAGTCAAAGAAACGGAGTGAAGAAGAGAGAGACTGTAAGATAGAAGCAAACCTTGTGGTTGTGGATAAAAAAAGGCCAAATGAGAAGATGAGAAGGTGCTGATCCACTGAGAATCTTCCAGGCATTTGCCCGTTTTACGGCTTCACTACCCAGAAAATTAGGAATAAACGGAACAAAAAAAATAAAAAAATAAAGAAATAAAAACTATTATTAAGTAAAAAAATTTGAAATTCATTAAAAAGAAAAAAAGTAAAAATTTAAAAAATAATAATAACATGTTTAGTACTAATTAGTTATACGAAGGTGTACCATTATCTTATCCACCTGTTTTTCTCGATCTGATGTCCATCATCATAGCCGTGTTAATCAACAATGGCTCATATCACGCCACGTCACACTCGTACCATACTTCAACACCACACGAAAGTACGACTTCCTTCCTCCTAATTCCATTAGGAGTAAAAAAATAAAATATAATTTATTTTTATTTTTAAAATAAAATCTAAAAATAACTTTTCTGTTAGAGTTGAATAATTACATTTTATTAATTTGATATTTTAAAATAAAAAAATGTAATACTAATTATAACCAATAATTTTACATACAGAATGTGTAAAAATTATAATTCTCTTCAATTCACATTAAAAAAAAGTATATAATGCAGCCCTAGATGTTAATATTTTTTGTACTTAATTATTATTATTATTTTTTAATCACTTGTCTTTATATCAATCAAATCATTGCCTTGTCAAAAAAAAAAAAAAAGAAAAAGAAAAGGTCCATAGAAAACTAATTGTACCTAAAGATTGAGACTTTTCTTCTATTAGTGTAATATAATATATATATATATAGTCATAATTTACCTATACATACATATTTGATAAAAATGCACGAGTTTTATTTATTTATTTATTTATTTGCTTGCATTTAAATCTCTTGTTTCTTTTTTTTTGGTTAGTTAATTTCCATAAGAAGATTCATACGGATATATGTACATATATATGTTTTGCATGTCATATACATATATATATATATATAAAGTAAGCAAATACAATTTCGAGGAGAGGCACTCTAGCATTCAAATTACCCAAGTGAAGATAGGGTCAAATTATCGAAGTGAAGGTAGGGCCATAATCAAACAGGTAAGATCTAGTTCTTTTGAAAGATGTATATATTTTTTTAGTAAAAAAGAACTAGGAAGACATACTTGGTTTGGTTATGGACCACAAGCATTAAAAAAGCAAAAACCGAAATTGGACAATCTGACCTTGTCAATGGGCCTAGTCAAGACCTGGGTCGAGCCCATTAGTCCATTTACATTGAACCAAAGCAAGCATGGCTCAAGACTTGTTACATAAAAGAATGGGTACCAAGTGAATATTAGGACCAATTAAAAGAAAAAAAAGCGAAGAAGAAGATATGTCCAAATATTATACATCAGAATCCGAGTTTGGGTGAATTACATTTGTTTCTCCTAACCTAAAAATGATTAGGGTGGAAAGATACTTTTTTAAAGACCAAATCCATCTCAAAATAAGTAGGTTGAGGTCAAATTTTTTTAGTAGGTGCCAATTTCTATGGAGTAGAAAAATAAAAAACATGGCAAGGGCTAAAGCAGAAGAGATTCCAGTTATGAGAAATAAACCACTAAATTTAGCAAATGACAGACGGTCCACAGCATTTGGAGTAGTGTCCCCAAAAGTGATATCCGATTGAGCCTTGAACCAAGCGTTTTCCAACATTATAAGCTTCTCCTCTGCCCTTAGTCTTGCAATGGCCTGTGACAGGTCTGCTACCAGCGTTGATCCTTTCGAAAAAGCCTGAAAATTTAACATTAGTAAGTGTATGATTATCCATGCTGTTCGAAGTTTACGGTTAAATAAACACATTAATTCATTTATCCACATCATTCATGCATATATGCCACGTAAATACTTATATGTTATAATCGAGTCGTACTGGTCATGAAAGTTGGCAATGTATTGATAATTAAATAAATTAAAAGGGTACTCACAAAGCTAAAGCCGTTGGTGGTGGACTTGGATCCTATCATAGCATAACCAGCAGAGTACCTTCCAAGAAAAATCTTTATGTATGGTATCTCGTCTATGATAGCAGTCACTCCACCATTGCTGCTTCCTCTTGATAATGCCTCGGCATATTCTTCAGGTGAGCCAAGCGGTTGAAGATTTGGATTCCTGAAGTTAAGATTGCTAATAACTCCATAAGTGAGGGGCAATGAGTTTTTCTGATATCCTATGTAATTCTCCTTTGAATCTAGTTGAATTTGTTGAACCGTCATCATTGAAGTCAAAGTAGCAGTATAACTAGAAGTTAATATAAGCACTACAAAAACCCACACCGCCACCACAAATTTTGATAAGTTGCTCTCCAACCTTTCCCCTGTTTGACAATGTTATCGGCATAAGTTAGTATATGCAAAAAGTTGATATAAATTTAGCAGAATGATCAAGAGGAGAGCTTACTATGAGCAAAAACAAGTGTGGAGAATGAGAACCAGAAAATGATCCCAATTTGCTGGGAAACTGAGCCTTGAAATTCAGCATTTATGGGGCGCTCTATCAACCAAACAATAAGGCCAGTCAGAACAAAGAAAGCAGCAGTTGATAGCCAAAGATCTATTGTGAGAGGCCTTAAGAAAATCCACATGTTTTTGCTGTCCTTTGCAGCTATCATTCCAACACCGACATCCGTGTATGGCAATGTGAAGTCAACATATGAAGATCTGTTGGCTGTGAACGTTAGATCCCCAATCGCACCATCATAATCCTTGTCCAAATTCATCACAAACAACAAATTAGAGGGACATAAATGAAAGACGAAGTCACTAATCCTATCTCGCAAGTCTATAGTAAGCACATTCACATACCTGACAATAGACTTGGTTGATAACATCATTGTAATTTAAATTATCTTCTCCATCAGCACTAGTAACGTGTACTAATTCATAATCCACTTCATATGGTAAGGAATCAATGGCAGCCCTGAAAACATCAATACAGAAGCCAGTGAAAATAGTAGTATTTGTTCGCAGATCGTGCTCTGCTTTCACTAATTCTGGAAATCCCCTATTCATTGGAACTGCAATTCTAAGCTTTCTACTATTCAATCGCCTCTTCAAACCTTTAGGAGTAGTTGCAGATCCTCCAGGCCAGATAATGGCTTCAAAATTGTCGGTTGAAGTACTAGAAGTTAAGAGCCTCCTATTATCAGATGGGTACAACTCTCTTCTGATTTTACCAATAGAATTGGTC